CAGGCTGCTCCAAAGAAGGGTGGAAGGAAGGGTGGGGGTTCTCAACCCTCCCCAGGATGAAGATCCTATTCTGGAATGTTAGAGGGTTTAATAAACCCTCTAAGAGGAGGGACTTTTCACAAGTCCTACGTAGGCATAAGGTGGATGTGGTGGCTATTCTTGAAACGAGGGTTAGGAAAGCAAAATCAATTGAGACTGTGGTGGACTTTTGTATAGGATGGAAGAAGTTTCTTAATTACTGTGACAGTGATCTAGGCAGGGTTTGGTTATTCTGGAACTCGGATATTGAATTTAGGATTCTTGCTGCCAGGAAGAACTATGTGCACTGTTTGGCTAGAGAATCGGGTGGAGCTAGTTGTTTTATCACAGCAGTATATGCTTCTAATGATGAGATGGAGAGAAGGGATACCTACAAGGACTTGGCTCATTTCAAGTTATCCACGGCCCCATGGATTATTATCACCATTAGAAACCTCCAATCTGACCATGATGACTAGCTGTATGATGGATTTCAAGAGTTGGGTAGATGAAATGGAACTGGTTGATCACAGATCGAGCGGACCTTTCTTTACATGGTACGAATAGGAAAAAAGAGAATCCAATTGCCAGGAAGCTTGATCGAGCATTGGTGAATGAGGCATGGTTTGATGGCTTTCCTTGCTGTGGAATTGAGGTCCTGGTGGGTACTTTTTCAGATCACTGTGGGGTATGTGTCAACATAAAACCTGAACAGAAATATCTTCCAAAGCCCTTTAAATACTTTGAGTTGTGGGCTGGTCACCCTGATTTCTACCAAATAGTTGAAGCAGGGTGGGCTGCACCTGCTCAGGGGGATCTATTCCAGAAAATTAAAACCAAACTAAACGCAGTCAAGAAAGGATTGAAGAAGTTGAATAAAGAAGTCTATAATGACATCAGTGGACAGGTTAGGGACACTGAAGAGCAGTTGCTTGCTGTGCAAGAAAGAGCTCTATCTGATCCATCTGGTGATCTTTTTGCCGTGGTTGAGGATCTGAATTCTAAGCTTGGAAAACTAAAAAAGGACGAGGAAAGCTTTTATTGGCAGAAGGCTCGGGTTAACCATCTGAAGCTGGGGGATCAGAGCACAAGGTATTTTCATCAATCAGTTAAAATAAAAACTGCTAAGAAGGCTATAAGAAAGTTAGTGCTTGATGGGGGTGAGGAGATAGTGGAAATGGATGATATTGCAGCTGAAGCAGTAAGGTTTTATAAGAGTCTGTTTGGTTTTATTGACCCTGAGGTACACCCTAATAAGCAGTTTCTAGAGACTCTGGTGTTGCATAGATTGTGTGAAGAACAGAAGATCTTCCTGTGCCAGGAATTTACAGCTGATAATGTGAGACAGGTTGTAGTTGGTATGAGTTCTCACATAGCCCCAGGCCCAGATGGTTTCTCAGCTGGCTTTTACAAGAGGACATGGGGGATTGTGGGAGAAGACATTACTTCTGGGATTCTGGATTTCTTCTCTACAGGTAAGCTCCCTAGTAGTATTAATTCTACTGCTATGTCACTAATACCTAAAGTTGCCTCTGCCTGTAGACTGAAAGAGTTTAGGCCAATCTCTTGTGTGAACATAATCTACAAAATCATTGCCAAACTGCTTGCAAATAGATTGAAAAAGGTCCTGGCTACTGTTGTTAGTGGGAATCAGTCTGCTTTTATAGAGGGAAGAAGGATTGTAGATAATATTTTAATGGCTCAGGAGCTGGTAAGTGGATATCACAAGGTTGCTCTGTCTTCTAGATGTGCTATCAAGGTAGATCTCATGAAAGCATTCGATTCCGTTCATTGGGGGGTACTTGTTCCTAATGATGGAAGTAATGGGTTTCCCTCCAAGATTTATCTATTGGATCAGATTGTGCATTAAAACAGCAAAATTTAGTATATGTATTAATGGTGGGCTGTGTGGGTTCTTTGGAGCACAGAGGGGGGTGAGACAGGGTGATCCCCTCTCACCTTACCTGTTTACAATTGCTATGGAAGGGCTCTCTCTCCTTTTGAATCGAGCTGCTGCAGAAGGTACCCTGCCTTTTCATCCACAATGCAAGAGAGTTGGCCTGACACACTTGTGTTTTGCTAACGATCTACTCATCTTCACAGAGGGATCAGGACAAGCTATACATAGATTTCAGGGGATTTTGAAAGAGTTCCATTCCATCTCAGGGCTTAAGTGCAATCCAGGAAAATGCGAGGTTTACTTTGGTGGGAAGTCAGTGCTATTCAAGCAGACAGCACTACAGATTTCAGGGTTTGCAGAAGGAGTTTTACCTGTCAGATACTTGGGGGTTCCTCTTCTTTCTGGTAAGTTGCCTTCTAGCGAGAAGGATAAATTAGTGGCCATTATCACGAAGAAAATCCAGTCTTGGCGGGCGAAAAAGCTCAGCTATGCTGGGCGGTTGCAATTGATTTCTTCAGTTCTGATGGGGACATTAGAATACTGGATGCAAATATTCATCTTATCTAAGAAAGTTATCAAGCAAGTTCAAATGTTGTGCTCTAGGTTTCTCTGGCATGGGGGAGAAGAGGGTCGTGCTAAGGTGAGTTGGGATAGGATGGCAAGGCCTCGAATGGAAGGAGGGTTGGGGTTGCGTGATTTATGTGCCTGGAATAGGGCTTGTACAGTCAGATTTCTCTGGTTGTTCCTAATGAAAAGTGGTGCTATCTGGGTAGCATGGTTTCAACATTATAAGGTCAAGGATCGTTGTATCTGGACAGTTTCTGATTGTCCAAGCAGCTCCTGGGCCTGGAGGAGGATACTAAAGCTGAGAGGTATGATTCAACCATTAATGTTGCTTCACAATTCACAGATCATGTGGGAAAATAAACCTATGCCTGTGTTCAAGGTGACTGTAGTCTGGAACACACTGAGAGTCAAGTATGCGGAGGTAGTTTGGGCTAAACTTGTCTGGGGGAAGAATTACATCCCTCGAAACAGTTTCCTAACCTGGATGATCATGTTGGATGTGGTGGTTACAAAGCAGAAGCTGTTGACATGGGGAAAACAGACTGATGGTTTATGCGTATTGTGTGGCAATGCAATAGAAACCCGTGAACATTTGTTCTTTGCATGTGGATTCTCAAGTCAAGTGGTTATGGAGTTGCAGATGGGGTTGCTCTGTTGTGGATCTTGGGAAGATACTGTGACTGAAGGCATAGCCTGTTGTAAGCGGCCGAGGATGAGCAGGATAACAAGCTTAATATGGTGCCTCTGTTGTGCAGGGATCTGGAAGGAACGTTGTCGTCGCCTATATGGCAACATCAAGAAACAAGTTGAGGACTTTATCAGGGAGATTAAGAGTGACTTGATGGTCATTTGTGCTGATAACGAAGAGCTTATGAAAGGTTTGCAGCTGCTTGGTTTGCAGGGGGGTGTTGTTTAGTGGTTGGTTTTCGAAGTTAGTATTCTGTGGAGGATGTGGTAGGGAGCTGATAGTGTTCGTGTTTGTCTTATAGGGATGCTCTTCACGAGCTTTCCTTTCGTTGTATTTGTTAACCATTTGTATCTTGCGAATGGTTTTGCCTTTTGGATTTAATAAAAGGGGAACATATTCAACGGAAAAAAAAAGAATGTTAAAATTGAGAAAGTACATGAAACTCTACAATGAAAATTGAAGTATCAAGCACCATAAAAATACATAGGATATACTTTGTGGGCTTGCTAATCATGATGGAATGTCCTGCGATTTTCAGAGAGTTAAGCTTCATGTATATTTTGTATTAAAAAAGACACAACAAATTTATTCATTGTAAATGGTTGTGATAGTTGTCTTTGTTTGAAGAGACCCGAGTTCAAATCCTCATGTTGATATTTTTTTTGTGAGATAAATAATTAACTGTAAAGACAAAAATGTCATTCCTACTTTCACTCTCGTTGCATGAAATTTGAAATGGAGAAAAGTACACAAAAGTGTACTATATATTATTGGGGATGTTCGGTTGGTTCCAATATAACTAGATGAATTGTTAACTAGGTTCGTCATTATGTATGGTGCTTTCGTTTATTAAAAAGTTTTCTTATAAATTGAAATTTTATATTTAATATTGTGGTACAAATTCAGTTTATACATAATTTTTTCGTACAAATTTATTTACAGTACAAATACTACATGTAATTCAATATTATGATACCAATTTAGATTGTACTCATACAATTTTGTACGAATTCCGTTATGGTACAAATTAAACGTGTATTTTTAAATTCAACTTGTACCTGAAAGCACCGACGCTTATGAGCCTTTTAAAATTCCTCATTATTGACACAATTATTAAATTAAAGGATATATAAAATACATGTAAAAAAATTTCAACTATTATATAAATAGTACCTATAGCATTAAAGAGTCTAGTGGGACGCCCGAGGGTAGATGGTAAGTTCCCTGCAACCAATGCAGTCAAAATCACGCTTTAAAACTTAAAAACTTACTATTTTACGCTTTTAGGTCACCAAAACGCTTTCGTTTCCATATAAAAACTTAAGTGTATAAAATCGGATCAAATTGCGCTTCTAAGCTTAAGAGCTTACGGTTTTACGCTTCTAGTTCTCCAAAACGCTTTACATTTTTACGCTTTTAGTTCACTAAATGAGTATTCTTTTCATGAAATTAATTATAAAAAATATATTTTTAAAAGTAAATCACCAACAATATGATACATTTGAGATTAAAAGACACATATAAGGTACTTGGATGCATTCTCAACTTCGATAGAGTAATCTAATTCACTAGCTAGGCTTTTCCCGAATTAATTAGCATACTGGGAAAAGTGGCTTATTGTTAAAATTTATGTTTCAAACTTATTATTAAGATGCTATAAGTTGTTCTACTTTAGGCATGAATCACATGTATTTATTGACTTATCTAAATTCTGTGCATTCATATTTTGCATAGCATATGTCCTACTTAATAGATTTTTATTTATTTTTCAGTATGCATCAAAAACTTACGCTTTTACGCTTTGATTCTACGCTTTACGATTTTACCCTGTTTCCGCTTCTATTCCCACACAGTCACCGTTTGATGCATGCTGACTTTTGATCTCTACCTTACGTTTCTCATAGATCTTGATCTCGACCTTACATTTTTATGCACCATCTTTTTTCTTTTCACCTTCTCGATCGGGTGGCGGCTAGGCTAGGGCCCCGTCGTTTCTCTAGAGGCTGGAGAATCTGGGGTCAGATCCAAAAATTTCACTAGTCCTTCCCTCTCCGGTCGTTTATGATGTTTCTTCCCCATCGTTGATCATTTGCAAGTACACATACTCAAAATTCTAAAACCCCATAAATCCATAAGACCACCACTAAGTCGCTCCTTCTTCTCATGGCCCATCGAACATTCATAGAAATTCTCAATCCACCAACTCTAAGTGGTCAGGAGATCAAAGCGCTCAGAGGAGAATATGGTATGTGCAAAGTATACAAAGGAATGGACAAGTTTAATTACGGGCGATCTCAACAACAGATTTGAGAAATATAAAGAGAAATATAATTAGTTCTGAGAGATTTTTTGGCAAGTGTCTATGCAAAACAAAATCCCTCTTGCTTGTTAGCTGCAACGAAGTAACGCCGACCCAAATCGATGGCAGCGGAGTATTTGTCTAACATGATTAGCGATGATAAAAAACATATTAAAATCTCCAACCGTAGAACACTTGTTGAATACAAATATCATAAATAATAAAATAAATGAAATACGTGTAATGTGTTATTAGTGATTGGTCGTCTGGACTTGTGCTTTGGGATTGACCCGTTGCTAAGGCCCAATAGGTTATTGAGATAGGCTTTTACCTTTTCACTAATTGTCTTCCATCTTTGACTAGTAAGGTCATGTACCTGTTAAGGATCAATCACAAGATAGTAAATAGCAAGGAGAAGAACACGTACACATTATTTTTTGTTAACCTAGTTCATCCTATTTCTTACGTCTCGTCTCAAAGGTGGCTCACCCATTGAAACCTAGTATCTATGTTTTTCTCTTATTCCGTTGTAACTCCAAGTTGAGTCGCTTTGAGCGGCTCAAACCATTGACAAGAATAAAAAAAAAATATACCCCTTTCTCTCTTCCTCATAAATAGAGAAACTACACAACCTGACAAACACTCAAGTAATACAAATAGTAAACACCTATCACTTCTTACACATAGTGCAAATCACATAGTGTTTGATCTTGCTTTGTGTATGATTGCTTCTTACACTTATTGTTTCCTTTTGTTTATACTTCGTATTGTATTGGTGCAACGGCCTCCTCTTGATCTTCCTTTGACTTGGGAGATTGATGGAGGCACACCTAGGAGTCAAGGGTATTTTAGTAAGTATAGTCGCGTACGTCAATTAGGATTTAATGTTGGACTCTATATAATGTCGTTTAACTATTTCGTTAGGATAATGAATAAACAAATTATCAAGGTATTATCATATTATCTCACTCTTCAATCCCTAATTTCTATTATGTTATTCTCCAACTCCCAAAATATCATTTTATCAATCTTGGATCCAATCCCCTCTACCCTTCATCTATTCATCAGATGATATTAGAGCGGCTTCAATCCGCGGATCACTTAGCTCAAATATTTGAGTCGTTCATGCGCAAGTTGGGGGAGCATGTAGCACGTGTTGCACGTTTGGGAGAGGTGGGAGCTCCGCTTGGTCCAACCAACTGCGCTGACTCCTATGCCGGTGGTGCCAGCCCCCAACCACAAAGCCCCAAAGATCCAAGAGGTATTCCCAGCTCAATCTCGCCCGCCATTATTGTCGATTCTGGCCAAGGACACACCGACAACCTTCGATAGCCACACTCTTGTCCTCAATGAGAGTCAGCAATCAAAGCATCACCTACAGTTGTAGCACCGTAAGCCGCTGCTGCCGAAGAGGGTTCCACGCCATCCATGCCCTATGCGGTCACGTTGTATGCCGGTGCTCTCCACCAGCCTACTTAGTGCCACCAGAACCAATGGGAGAGCAAAATTTTGCTCCGCAACCATCCTCCGTTACTCTGATTGTAGTCTCCTCCAACAAAACGTCAGCCAAGGACCATAATGTTCGAGCTGGCCATTATTCGAGGGAGAAGGTTACCATACGGTGAGACTCAGAACCAGGTAAGTTTAATGTGGTACCCTTACACCACCATTTGATGTCGTTGATGAAGTTCTGCACATGCTTCTTGATATGAGCATGCAAAAGAAAAACATTACTGGGTCACGTTATTCTTTCCTACAAGCCAAGCTGAATCCGATGGGATGAAGTGATATGATGATGGGTGTTGAGATGACTTGAATCAGACTATCTGTGAATAGTGGAAGTCACGGGATTCTGTTCTAGGCCTCACTTAATACATTATTCTTCACCATGTTCGATTAGGGTTAGACCACATGGAGAAGTACTAACTCATGCTCCTACTCGTGGACTACTTAACACACTTCGTGCTAGTCAACCACGTAAATCATTGTATCTTGTTTAATTTCTTGAGTTCATTTTCTTGCTTTGTCGATCCTCCAATTTTCCGATATGTAGAAACAGTCACGACAAAGTGGTACCAGAGTGTCATGTTGGAAATCAGGTTAGGGTTTCGAGATTGAAGAATTACGTTAGTGAATATGAAGATCGAAAAGTTTGGAAGAACAGTTTCGGTATATGACAGATTAAGATGCAGCCACTATTGAAACAACAAGGGTTTTAGGGCCGCTATATTGGAACATAAAAAGATAGGGGTCGATGACGATGAGTGGAGTACCCTGGAGGAGAAGGCCAAATCAACTATCATGCTTTCTGTAATATCCTGATATCTAAAACATTCGAATAATAGTTTTGCTTCGGAGCATATTTAAAATTTTGAAAGAAAGGAAATAATAATGTGCTCAAAATACTAATACTGATAAATAAATTCTTATAACTCAAAAGCAAAGTCCTAAAAATTGGGTAAACCTCAATCCATAAAGTCTTAACACTACAACAATTTTGGGATATTATGACAACGACATTCGTCAAAACAGAGCAAGATTTTTTCATAATAGATCTATTATGACAAAATAATTGGTCATACCGTTGGTCAAAACTACCTCGTCGAAATAGCTCTATTATGACAAAAAATAGGCTTCTTGTCACAACATGTTCCAGTGGCACGCCGTGCACATTTTGTCATAACAAGCATCCTGTTATGAAAAAATGTTTTGTTAAAATATATAAATGCTTCGTCACAATATGTTCTTAATTTTTGTCAAGATAGTTACCACTTTTGCTACATTGTCGTGACAAATGTATAGTTTGTCATAGCAAACCTATTTTGACAAGACCATGTGATTGTCATAATATTCAAATTCAGACTCCACCTGACATTTGTTCTGATGAAACTTGTTTCTCATAACCTTATGCATATATGACAACCTGTGGGCAGTATTATGATAACCTATTTTCCAAATCTGATGCTATTCATACCATTAAGAAAAAGGTACATCATTCAAATGTATCAAAAGCTACATCATTCATTCCCGAAATCAAAAGCTACATCATTCATAGTTACAATCTGTTCCAAAAATCTACTGATCCATCCATCTAGACACCAAAACAAAGTCTTCCAAAGCTACATCTATTCGACTTTCAAAAGAGAGTACTAAATAACAAAAGCTAACAGTCTTCCAAAGGTACTAATACTCATGATGTGGTCCTTGAGCATCCAAAATGCATACCTACTGCCATATAACTGGGCATCTGCGTAATACAACGATGATAGTTTAAGTAAAACTTATGGAATAAAATTCAATTGAGTAGTAACACCGATGACAGTATAAGTACAACTTATGAACTAGAATTTTACCTTCAGCTAAACTTGTCTTCCATTATTTTTTGCAGCTAGTGACTCGACATATTTAGTTAGGGTCTCCTGTGATGCTTGCAACCCTTTGATAATACCGTTCTGACTGTGTATCTATTGTTGCTGGTTTTCTATCTGCTTAAGTTGTGCATGAGTCTGGTCCTCAAATTCTTTCCTCTGCCTCTACCCCACATCAAATGTCTCCTCCAGTCGTGCCTCCAGTTCTTTCTCTCTTTGAGAACTCGAGTTGCCTTTTCTGGTATAGCTGGGTGCTTTTTCCAGCACCACAAGAACAATCTCAGCACCGGATAATATTTTCCCTTCTGCCACTTCTTCAACCTAGATTCTTTTCATTTCCTCATATGAACACAACAGTGGAGTCAGTGTACTTGCTAGGTTCGCTAACATCCAAGTAGTAGCTAGGTTTGCTAACAACCAAGTTCATTCACTCACATGACTAACTCAACTACGATTAGACCCTATGTCACACATCCAAGTACTAAAACCAGACCCTAATTAAAGCAAGGAAGAAACACAGCCTGTTGTGTTCACTTACATAGTTTTTTTGAGGTTGCTCATTGACCCAAGTCCCATTTTTTTCTCTTATGTGTGTCGGCATAAACTCTGATTTCCATGGACTCTACCTCAGCTTCATCAGATTCATTATCATTGTTCTCCGTATCTGCCTCATTGGTTGCTTCATCGGTTGTTTCCTATTAACAGTCCAGATTATAGAATGTTAGTAAGGTGCATTCTGGTATTGGAAGTAGAAAGGAGGAGTAACCTTACCATTTCATACATTCGTTGGCTGCATGATTTGCCACCTGTAATATGAGCAAAAGTCTGCATGCTTTTATTGCGCTTATTAGCAGCACTTTGCCTCTGCATCAGCGTATAAGACAACATTCATTAGCACCTTATTCATATCTAACCTAGGATAACAAAACTTACCAATTAAATGCTCACTCAATCTATTCTTCATGGCAGATGGCTTACCTTGAACCTATCAGACTCAAAATGCTCACACAACTATATCCACTCCTCCATCTTCACATTTTCATGAGGGGTCTGTTTAGCAATATTGGCATCGGCTCCTAACTCTTAATAATGCTTATGAAAATGATACTTGAAGTTAATGAACCGCTTAGACAGTGAATAATCCACAGCTAGCCTCATAGCTTTATTAGTCATGGAGATATCAAACTCACTCTACAGTCGTGAAAGTATGTTAGAGTGTGAAAAGTGAAGGATACTGACCAACAAGCATGCAATTACAGGTAGATGATTTATTTTACCTCTAATTTGGGGAAAAGTGGTTGCTTTAGCTCCTCGGTCACATCTGACCAATAGAACATACCGATGGGAGCCATGAGTTTACATATAACTCCTATCTCCATCTTAAAAATCCTCTCATTACGACCAACAAATTTTTTTTGCTCCTCTAGCAAATACCAGCCCCGAAATCTTACTGCCATCTCGTGTCATCTTAGCTACCTCCAACCTTTCCACGTTTTTTCTTATGTGGTTGACCTATTTATGTAGTTATCAATACCAGGTTACACAAGTACAATCCCTTGTAAACAAATTAGATTACATCCAGAGACCAAAGCCATGGGGAAAACTTACTTGGTGGATTGGGAGCAGAGGGGGCACTCTCAATACTGTTTGTTTCCTCACCAAGCATCCCATAATATGAATTAGGGAGATTCACTCCGTTTGGTAAAGCATCCCATAATACGAATTAGGGGAGTTGTTAGGACATGCATCTATAATGGTATAACCAAACCCAAGGTCATGAATGTAACTCTTCACCTCATAATACGAATTAGGGAGATTCTCCCCATTTGGTAAAGCTTCCTTTATTATATCCAAATTGAGGTTAAATGATTTAGCGCTACTATTGGTTAACATTTTCTTATTCATCATTATCATAATGAAGGATACCTTTGAAAATTTCTTACACCCAGGATAAAGAGGACAGTTAGCATCTTTTAGTATTTTAGCTAAGGTTGGATCTAGATTTACTCACCCAAAACCCTCATTCATAGATTCAGAACCTGATGTACCAAACCTAGCAACATTAGCTTGACCCAAATCATTCAACATGGAAGGCATTTCAATGTCAAAACCACGCATATCATTCTGACCAGTGTCCTCTAAATTATCAGTTGCCCCTCTACCACCAATCTCCGAGTCCTCTCCATGATATATCCACAAACTATAATCCTCTACCATCCCATTGAGGAACAAGTTAACTTTCACAAGATCTATTGTTTTAAAGCAACAATTGTTGCATTTTTTGCACGACCACCTAATTCTACCACTACCATCAGCACATGCCTTGGCAACCCCTATAAAGTACTCAACACCCTTCACATAATTAGCATAAAATCGATTCTTCAACTTCAACCAACCCCTATCTATTTTGTCTTTGTGCATAAATTAGGCTAACCTGTGCCTTGGGACGATTCTTGGAACACTAGAGCAAGCACCTGCAAAATGAAAACAAGAGAATAAATATCAATAGTTCCCCTGAGGATGTCGAAATACCAACAGCAAAGCAATCACAACACCAAAACAATCAAACCTTCTCTAGCAGGGTCGGCGTAGTGACCAGAACCAAACACACCATAACCATAACAACAAGATCCACAAAGTAGAAACCGATAGTTTACAATAACCTCCACAAAACACAAACCAGATAACTCAGCATCCCTACTCAGCTTACAGAAATCATTGAACTACTGATAACTCAGAGAATAGTGTGCTTAGATCAGTACAATCATCTTAAGGAAACGATAAACCCCAAAAATACACCCTCAGGTTGCAATTGAATCCAGAAACTAAATTTCAAATCTCTGAGTTACGCATGCAAGAACACATGTAGGGATTCCATTTATCAAAATAAAAAAATCCCCAACAAAATCGTCTTACAATCGACAAACACCTAAACTCCCCCAAAAGTCCCCAACGAAATCGTCTTTCAATCGGCTGAAAACGAAGAAGTGGAAGAGGGTTATCGAAGAGGGTATGGTGATTAGAGTACAGTCATCTTACTCGATTATGAAGCGATGCGCTCGCTCGCTTCTGCGGGGAGGATTCAATGCGACAGCGAAGACAGACTGGTTTTAATTCACAGAGGTTTTTTTGAGCGACGACTTTGAATTTTTGGGGCAAAATTTGGGAGTGGATATGGTTTTGGAGCGATGGAGGGAACTAAAATCAATTCCTGCGCCCTATTTTCCATCTCTCACTTTCATTATCTGAACATAAAAAGGATAAGAATAAAAGCACCCATGTTTTGAGTAATATAACTTTGTCACATTACCAAAGTTATATTACTCAAAATGAAGTGCAGGACCCATATTGTGATAAACTTATAATGACATACACTATTTGTCATAATAAAGATGTAATATGACAAAATATTATGACATCATATAAATTCGTCATAATATGGGTCTAATCTGACAAATTATTATGACAAAACATTTGTTTGTAAAAAAACACAACTAATATGACAAATTTTAGTTCTGTCATATTATAGGTTCTATTGTGACAAAACTAAAATGACAAATTAAAATTTCGCCAGGACATCCTATTTTAAATCTCCACTCCTTACTCATAATCATAAAGTAAATATACTAAAAGTCTCAAATGTCCACTTACTCAGATCCGTGATCAGAAATCTTCAAAAGTGCTAACGTGGTCTTCCTCTGGTAGCCTGCTCTCTCATTGGATGCCCCTCGACTGGATGCTCCCTAGCTCCTCCTCTATGATCTGGTGAGTGATTGGGGTCAGTCTACGCCATTACTTAAACTTGAAGCATTTATAGGTATTCTCTTAAGTGTTCCTCAAAAACCGGTGGAAGTTGATTATACTTCCCCCCTTTAAACTTTAACTCTTAAAACGTGTGAGTTAGTGTTACTCGCCACTCTCAAAAACATTAAACCTTTGACCAACACTGGGATCTCCTCACTAACTTGTCCATTCTCCCAACTCATACATATGAGGACTAACATAGGCCTTTCCTTAAACATTTTTATGCGAGTCTAATCGATTCATCCCCATAAATCTTAAGAGTATATCATACTCTGCCTTTAAACTTCAGGTGATGTCCAAGTGATTCATCCTCATGTTCCTTAAGAGAAAACTTGCTCTTCCTTTAAACTTTCACTAGGGTGGGGGGCTGGCGTTAGCGAACTATCTTTAAACATTTTCACCCTAATTAAATTAGGAGTGAAATACCTCTTAAATATTGATCCTTAAAGATCAGACAAAGTTCAATAAACATAAGATAAAAGCTTCAAGTAAATATTGAAAGCTCAAATAATCATATACTTCCCAATCGTAACTCAAATAGAGCATATATCATCAATCACAACATATATCAACACTGGCATACGCTTCACGTAAAGCACATACCTAAATTTTGTAAGGCAAAAACTTGAAAATACATAAGGCGCAGAATTTAACCCCTTAACCCACTCACCTCTCAAATGACGATTCTTAGTTCCCTTGACGTTATTGCTTCCTTAATTCTATAAACTGAAATTATCTTCCCTTAACGTGTTGGGAAAATTTCCCAACTTGTTTACTTAGTCTCAAAATCCTTTAAAAATGACCCTTAATGTCTTTTAAATCATTTCCCCAAAACAAGAATTTGACCCTTTAATCATGACTTAAATCATTTTAAATAATTAAATAATTCTTAAAATAAATATCATAAAATCCTCATAATTTCTCAAAATATATTTTCCACTTAAAACTCCAAATTCTGACTTTAGGTACTCCAACTCATTATACAAAAGTAATAACCATCAATCACCCTTTAAATAACCTCTTTTTCCTATTAAAATTTAGCATATATAATTTTTAAATCTAGTCACAAAAAATTAATAATTATGATCCATAACTTTTTAACATCCTCAAGTTTTAGTCCATCCGAGAACCTCCT